TCAAAAACTAGATCTAGATCTAGATTGAGAAATCGAGAAATAAAGATGAAAATTACCTCTAATAAGTTTCGATTTCCTCTCGAATGACCTCTAAAAAGCTTTGATTTCCTCTCCAATTACGTCTAGAAAGCTTCGATTTCCTTTCTAAAGAGATGAAAATTGCCGATGGCGATTAGGTTTTTTGGGAGAGAGAATATTGAGAGTGTTCTTTTGTTTCAGGGGTAAATTTGTCCTTTTCGGATAAAATCGTGGCATTTTTGTAAAGGGTCTAGCGCGTGTGACAGTTTTGCAAACTATTGGCCCATTTGTGGTATTTTTGTGATTCCCCTACTAAACTAACACTTAAAAACACTTCTTTTTTTTTGGTTATTTCCCATGAGAAGAATGGTTTTGATCTTTGATATTATTTCCTTCCGTTTCTGTAACGAATAATAAAACGAGGGGTGTATTTGTAAGAAAATTAATTCCCAGATTTTTCTGGCTCTTCCCGAAGCAAATCAAACAACTAAAAACGCCTCTGGATCTCACGAGATCCATTTCGAATCGAAGAAGAAAGCGAAGGACAGCAAATCTAGGGTTCACTTTTCTTGTCTTGACGACTCGAGTCGTACACTTTTTGGTCTGAAACTCCTTCGTGTTTTGTCTTAACAATGGCGAACTTTATCAACCTCGAGGATTCCCCAATGTTTCAAAAACAGGTACACTACTTCTTCATCATTAGAAATGTATTCAGGTTTGGGGTTTGATCGTTTTTGTTTATTCCTTGGTTGATTATTTGGTTGATTGAATCAGGTTTTCTCCTTAGAAGGAACAACTGATGAGCTTAAAGATCGTTGTCAGAAGCTATACAAAGGTGTTAAGAAGTTCATGTAAGTGTAAAAATCTACCTACTGTACTTCTTTTGGTTGTTTCCGTTTTTGTCTCTGCTAAAGCCTTTTGTCGTAATGTCTTAATCATTTGTCTCTGCTAAAAACCTTTGTCTTATTAGTTAGTCGGCTAAAGCTTTTGTTTAGAAAACTTTTGTACCATTTTCCGGAAAAGAGTATAAGATTTATGCGACCATCTTCTCTTACGATGTCAAATAGAGAAGATAAATTTACTATTTGGGACTCAATGGAAAGGAATTGTCTGTCTAGACTACTTGTTGTGTCAAATAGAGAAGATAAATTTACTATTTGGGACTCAATGGAAAGGAATTGCATTACTTTTATATACAGGGGAGCATTGGGAGAGGCATCTACTGGAGTCAGTGCCTTTGCAGATTCTCTGGAAGAGTTTGGCGCTGGACATGATGATCCCATTAGTGTTTCAATTGGAGGTTGTTGTTGATTCACTTTCAATTGATTTGCCCACTCTTATTAGTTGATTACTTAGTTTTAGGTGCTATGAACTTATGATTCATTCTCCACCGAGGAAATCGTGGGCTCTTTGGTTAATACAAAATAAACTATGATGCATTCCTTTAGCTCAACAGATACAAATAACTACTCTATGCAAACAGTGGTGGTGGTATTGTGGTTTTCTTCTTTTGGGCTTCTCATCCACTAATTTGCTGAGATTTTGAGCCACGCGTAATTTTTAGCGAAGTTGACTTTGTTGGATGTCTGGGTTACTCTTGAAATAGACAGTGTAGTGGGAAAGAAGTTGGAAAAAAACATAGGTCTGCTAGTAATGTTGGGTAAAAAAATTAGGAAGCATAGCTTTTATGGAGTTTCATATCTTTCTATCGGCTAAGATCTATCTTCTTGGCTTGAACCATTATTTCATTCCGTTTTTCTCCTCATCCTTTCTTTTAGTTTGATATTGCTTTCGGATAACCCCTATAGAACTCATATAGAACTCTTAAGAGTATGAGTTCTAGTTTCCCACTTTTTTCTTATGAGACTAAACATGGAAGAAATTCTAGAAGCTCTTGTTTCTGATCTATTTCTTTGTCATACTTTTGGGTGGCAACAGGTCCAGTAATATCTAAATTTATAAACACACTTCGAGAGCTCTCCTCTTTTAAGGAGTTTCTTCATTCACAGGTACTCTTTGTTTCTTGTGAATAGTTACACATAAATGTCAGACAAGACCGAACAATGTCTCCTTATTGGAACTTGGAAACGATTTATATGTTTGGTAGCCAAAGTGTTTTTAGGAATAATAGTTCTGTTTATTCATATTTTCCTTTATACAAATGTGCTGTAGAGACTTCTTTTAGATTTAAGTAATCAACTATACATGCATCGACTGTCGAGAAAGAGTAAAAAATGTAAAAAGTTAATGAAAGAAATCCAAAATGTAGCGAGTTTGAAAATCCATGTGTAAATATTCGTTTTAATGCTGTTGCCCTTCACTGTGTCATTTGTGGAGCTGTTGCGTTTTTGTAGGTGGAGCACGTATTACTTGAGAGGCTGACGAACTTTATGACTGTTGATTTACAAGAAGCAAAGGTTACCTTTTGCCTGCAAATTTTGATTGTTTTCTACTTTTTATGTACCGTAAAGTTTCATATGTGATGTCAAATATTATAGACTAGAGGTTGATCAATAAACAGAAGATTAGGTTGTTGGTCTTTTGAAAAGTTCTATTAAATCCATGCCAGTAGTTAGGTCGGATTTAAAAACCTATTGTCATTTCTTATTTCTAAATTTTCCTTCTCTTGACGTGAACCATTTTCAGAAGAAACTTAAATGTTTTTCTCCTGCATTAATCTAAGATACCTGTTATCGAAACTCAAGCTATGGTTTGCCAATGATCCACTTTACTGATTTCTATCTTTTCAGGAGTCTCGCCGTCGTTTTGATAAAGCTGTCCACTCTTATGATCAGGTAGTTGATTATAGTCTATTTCTTCACTTATTGTATATGAGCGGTACACATTATTTATCTCTTAATAATATATGTTATTGGTGTCACTACAATATGAACTTTGGTTTTTTTGTGAAACTCACAGTAATATCAAATTGGCCAGTGCATGGTCAGTTAAAAAAAATACTAGTTCGAAAGTTTAGTTGTTTATAAGTAACGAGTTTGCTGAAGAAACAATTGAGTAAGGAAATCAGTACCTTCCTCCATAAATTTTGCACTTTGCATGGTGTTATATTGCTTTGTGTTTTCTTCACTGAATGCATATATCTAAGCAATCATGAGACTGAAAGGAAGTTTTTCCTTTCTACTTCTGCATAGTACCAAGAAATTTCAAACATGGGAGACTGACAAGTATTGTAGTTGATGATTAATCTACTTTAGATATAATGTTGTGCTAAGTATTCTTGATCTCAAGTTATGCAATGAATTTTCTTATCCATTTGTAGGCACGCGAAAAGTTTGTGTCGCTAAAGAAGAATACCAGAGGAGACATTGTTGCTGAATTGGAAGAGGTATCAGTACTGTATTTCTTATATATAATATTTTCCTTCCTCCTCATTTTGGCTAGTGAGGAAAATTCAAGCAAAAGCTCACGCTGTGATGTGTGTGTATGTCCTTACATGTATACACGCATGCATAAACTGTATATGTGCATGGTTCAATTATGTAATCTAGGTCTAGGCAATTTTCTAATCAAGTAAACGGTGTTTGAGTGAATTAATTATTTCAGGTTGACACTCCAGCTGAGAAATGTTGCTCCACATATCTGGGATGGTAATGCATTTGTAATGTTGTATTTACAGGATCTGGAGAACTCGAAGTCAGCATTTGAGAAAAGTCGTTTCAATCTAGTATGCTAAGTCTATGAACAGAAGTCACTTATACTACTATTGTCTTTTGACCTTTCTGCGTCTAAATGGTTTTCTCTTTGGTTTAAGGAGTGCAGGTAAATTCATTGATGACTATTGAAGCAAAAAAGAAGTACGAGTTCTTGGAATCTATAAGTTCAATTATGGATTCCCATTTGAGATATTTTAAGCTTGTAGGTTTCTTCTTATTTTGCATTTTGAGACGTCACCAAGTGTGACCAACTAAGGGCAACATCTGTGTCATGTTGTATTCCATAATCTGGTCTCTTTGTGCTTCAGGGCTATGATCTATTGAGTCAGTTGGAACCTTATATTCATCAGGTACAACCTTAACTGTCAAACCCTTTTCAATAGTGCAAATAAACAAAAAAAGTGGGGGAGCTTATAATGCCAACTCATTTACATCATTTACTCTATTGAAACGGGTGTTTAAATCATAAATCTCTCTTGCCCTTCTGTTCCGTGCTTCCACGGCAAAGACAAGCTTGTAAGGAAACAAGTTTGTTTTTAGGATAAAAATTGGTTCTAGTAATTCGGTGTATACTTGTTGGTGATGAACAAGTTTGGTTGTTAACGGAACTATAACTTGTACTCTGCTAACATGTGAAGTAAGATGGATATAAATCTGTAATCTTAAGCGAGAGACAGTGATGTGCACACTTAGAGGGTTAACATTTAAAATACTTAAGCTTGAGATCATTAAAAAGTTCTCTCTGTTCTCTAAGAAAATTGATTAGCGCTGCGAATTGCTACTTTACTTCTTACAGGTATTGACATTTGCACAACAATCAAAAGAACAGTCTAAGATTGAACAAGACCGATTTGCAAGACGTATTCAAGAATTTAGGACTCAATCTGAATTAGACAGCCAACAGGTCTCTGCTAAGGCTGAGCCCTCTGGTGCTGATGGAAACCATGTTTATAGAACTATCCCGTATAAAAATGTAGAAGCAACTTCGATATCAACAGCGGACAAGGAAGTAAGGGTCTCCAACTCACTCGTGTAGTTGTCAAGTGCAAAACCATAGTTTTCTGAAATTGTTCTAATGCATCTCTGGTAAAGAATATATTGCTCAGTTTTGTATTGCCACAGGAAAATGGGTAAAAGTGGCATAGTCTGTCCAAAGATATATGTGTTGTTGTTTGGAAACAGGATCTTGCTTACCCTACTGTTGTTTCCTAACTAAGACATTTGCCAGCTCTCATAAATAATTAAATATGTATATAAAGTTGAAGCAATAGTGTTAATTTCTGAGTTGCGCTTGCAAAAGAATATTTCTGGCTTCATGATATCGGTCCCCTGTTCTAAGATGTAAATACTGCAATGCAACTGTGCAGACATTGATTGATTACTCGTTTGGTGATGAGTCTTAAGCTTCACTGCTTCAGTTCTCATGCAGGCTAATGTCTTACACATTGTCTCTTCTGTACTAATGCAGGTAATTAAACAGGGGTATCTGTTGAAGCGATCAGCTAGTCTGAGAGCTGATTGGAAAAGGAGGTTCTTTGTTCTTGACAATCATGGATCCCTATACTATTACAGAAACACCGGTAATAAATCAGCGGTATGTGTGCCAAGCTCTTTTTTATTGTCTCATTTCCATGAAAGAGATCCATAAGTTCTTTTGAACTTGATTATAGTTCTAGATGCAAAAGGTCTAGTTTCTTAATATTATGTTAATCTCTTTCTCCCCTGAAACGGAAAATTGCTTCATGATGGAGTAACAAGACAAAAATGGTCAATTAGAATTAAGATGGAGACCAAATTATTCAGTTCATGCTTA